TGAATAATAAAAGGTGTGCTAACTGCCTGTTTCCAAGAAACTTGCATTACTGGCTACATAAACAAACTTGTGTTTTATCCTTAAAATGTCACAAAATCCAGCTTCGTTTATTCAAGTTGTGCCGAGTTGTGGGTAGCGGTGGCAAGTTGTTTGGTGGTAGCCATAAATTCTTTTATGCATAAGCAAATTGCATAAGACAACATTAATAAATGTTTATTTCTGATTCTGAACGAAGCAGTCTAAAGAATGAAACAAAGTCAAAGAATTTTGTTACGCAGCAAAAAAATTAAGAAGCGGGTACAACCGTCGGTTTCACAAAGCACAGAAGCTGATGACAGCCAAGCTGAATATTGTGCAACAACTATTATGGGCAAATAGCAGGCAAGTAACAGCACACCATTTACCCCTACCTTCAAATCTACTGAGTTACTGCCTATGTGGTTGACATTGGGCAGAGACCCACCTCGGTAGGAGCCAAGAGATTGGTTAATGAGAAGATGTTGCTTAGGCACCTAGAACACAAAAGCACACACAACTACTGAAAAGCACAAGCCCGATGCAAAAATAGAAGGAATCCAATAAACATTAGCCAAGATGCAGTTGAACCAGCCTCCCATCTACAAAACACATCTAGGCATCCAGAATGTGAGGCATAACAGAAACACAATCCATCAGAGTAACAGAACAGGGCTTAATTTCTAGAGGTGTGAGGACTGAAACAAGCTGGATACCCCTGACCAAAAGATAATACCATGCATAAAATTTTAAACCTTACACTAATTAGGTGCAAAAGATTAATTCTAAAAGAAAGTATTCATATTCCATGCAGTTATTATTTATATATAATCATTCTGAATTGTTCCCAACAGAAATTAAGCTCTGATGAATAACAAAATATATATTAACAAGAAACCATCTAGCCAGAGATACCAATAAGAATAGCGTAACAGATAATAAAAACAAGAAAATACAACTTTGGTCTCAGAAACTACTCTGAACTATAAATTGAAATACCTTAAACATAAATGGTTAAATAATATATTTTAATTTCATTCTCCCTACTTACCATTCGACTAAACTTTAAAACAAACTGAAATCCATTTCTTACTTTTGCAAATCTTGTAAATATGTCAGAGTTTATACGCACATATAAAATATATTATATATTTAAGATTAATTTTAATGGTGGTAAAAAATGTGGATCGGAGTGTGATGGGTTATAATGTCACAAATTCTTGTAAGTAGTTCAAATGACAGAAGATAAAGGTGGTATGTTCCTCTAAAATACTGATAACCACCTACAAGATTACATCACATTATAATCCAGCAGTCAAGAATCTCCCATGGTATAACTGAATTGTAAGTTTTGATGTTTTTGTGCCTCATTACCTGGTCATTTGACCACACAATACAAGGAAACAATGACCCATTATACTGTAACACTGAATTTGATGTGCAGGTACAATGAAAGGGCAAATATCTACAAACTGATTCTGGTTTATCATCAGAAGTATGAACTAAGTATCCATTAAGTGAGCTACTGAAAGGTTTAGCTTTATTAGTTATTTAATTATACTGTGTCAGTCAAAGGAGCTATTTAGTATCAAATGATAAATTGTAAGTAGCCCATTAACAAAGTTTCGAAGTGAAGGATTTGAAGTTCTTAGGATGGCAAGTATGAAGCCAGTTATCTTCTGGGTTGTACCAACATTTCCGAGGTACTTGCTGCCTCCTGATGACATACACAACAAATACCTCTGAAACGCTGGTAATTTTTTAACAGACTAAACAGCATTACAACCCAGAAGACTGGCAATCTTCAAGGTTTTTAAGTAAACGTAAACTATTTCAAGGTACTTTAAAAAACCCAGACAGCACGCATAATTATCTAGTTGAGATACAAAGAAACTTATATATTTAATAAAGGGTAGAAGAAAACGTAATGTGAAAAGCACTCTTAAACCAAATACACTCAAAGCAACAAATAACTAAGCATTTATTCTCAACATTCTGTTAAGTATTGGAGTAATTCTTCACAAAGAGCATTGATAAATCAGTTTAACCATAAAAATACCAAGATCTTACACAACAATATCTAAAAAATAAGTAAACAGAAAGCCAACACCAGTTAAACTGGTCCCATGAATCTAAATTGTCTGCCATTTTGTATTACAAGTAAATGCCCTCTGGTTGTAAAGAAACACATTTCATTCTTCAATGATTCAAGCTCAAAACATTCGCACAAAATTTAAACAAGTTGACAGTGAACCCATACACTTATTCCTGAAGGTGAACAGGGATGTAGAAGTAAAGACATGAAAATAATTCTCACCTTGGCCAACATTTGAAAAAAACAAAAAAACAATGAAATTTCTTGTCTATATATTATTGGCTATTAGGAGAATGACAATGAAAGAATTCATCAAAGTGACAAGACACTATCCCAGCATTTGCCTGGAGAGTACTGAAGAAAATCATGAAAAGCCTGTCAGGAGAGCCAATTTCTGAATGAAGATTTGAACCCAGGTCCTCCCAAATATGAAGCGCTGACCACTTGGCTGCAACATTTGGGGGCATCCATTTTGCTCTCAACAACAGGATGATAGTGAAGATGAAAATGGCAGCTGAAAGAGAGGACTTGCTGCTTATTGTGTAATCCCAACTACTATGATGGCCTGTAATACCTCACAAAGTTCTGACCTTGTAAGAGATATGGAATGGTGAAGACAGGCTTAAAAATCTGCACTGAATCAAGCTAAAGCAAAATCTGGAACCTTTTGCACGAACAACACCTTATTCTTAGACCACTAGGTTCCTGTGTGTCTTCTGTTCATTAAAAAACATTTAATTAAATATATTTTAAGACACATAATAACCTTACCTGAAAAATATTTTCATCACAGTTTCACTTACGCTGTCACAAATTTCAAAGGAATATGTGACAAAATAATCATGTATAAACGAAAATATTCCCACATAAATATGTATCAATCAAAGGAAAGTATACCTTTAAAACATATTAACAATAATGAGGGAATTTAATTTAAAACACAACCCCAACAATAATACTTGAACCCCTTCATGCACAAAATGACAAAAGCAATGGCAGTACTCAATTCTTGCAGATGTATCCTGTTGTATATATGCTGAATTGCTTGAAACAGGTGCAGCTATAATTTCAGCTGTTTTGTCACTTGATGAAAACTTTTCATAGACATACACTTTTTGCATTCTAAAATTTTGTTACCAGTCAGTGTATTGTTTCCTTACACTACTTCCTTGTCAGGATACATATTGCTAAATGTTTTGCAAACAGCAGCAAATGATTTCAGTATAAAGTAACATTCAAGAATAATCATGTTCTGCTCATAAATATACCATGTTTGCACCATCACAGCTTTAGCAAAACTGGTATGAGCAGCAACCTAGCAACCAAAGTGACCTTAGACTCTAGTGTCACAGGAGAGATTGAGAGTCTATTACACAGAGTTGGACATGCCTCCAAACTAATTTCTTTTACCACTATATATGACTGTTGTTGGGCTACATTTTAAATGGTATACCTTGCACTTCATCCTCAACAACACTACTAATACCGTTTTGCATGCACCAATAACCAACTCCATAAAGCAAAATCCTTCTTCACGAGACTGAATCCTATCCTCTGCCATCTGAGTTCAGTCCATAACCTTTCTTTAAGATATATATTACTATCCTCCCATCTATACCTATGCCTACCAATTATGTCTCATTCAGATTTTCAGTATGCACTTCCCACCTCCACCATGTACAATACATATATCATACTTCCCCCTCCCCAAGGCTGAAGATGGAGACAGTATACTCCTCCAAAACATTTGCTGGTATCTACCTACAAGTCCACAAGATTTTAACAACCAAGATCAACACTGATATTGTAGGTTACATTTTAAATATTTATAATACAATATAATCTTTATATTAATCACATGCTTCATAGAAAATGGTTTTATTTCCATTGTGTACTACGTATATACTCCCCACAAACAGCCTGTAGTCTAACACAAATCATTCTGACACCATAAACAGGCAATTTTTGTATGAAAGTTAAAACTGAAATCAATATTTGAATGTTGATTTTCACATTTTATCAGAAAGCTAATCATTACAATGTACCAATGCTCCTGACATTCAGTCACACATGGGCAGAGAACCCCTTGTGGATGTTGTACAATATGCAACAGGAAGTACATGAAAGTATATATTTAAAAAGTTATAAGCCAGTAATTTTACTGTTGTCAATAACTTTACTCTAGCAATTAAAAAGTATATTCTCTTCTTAGATCCTAGTCCTTAAAACTTTAATAACCTAACAGATATAAATGTACTTGGATGTTCTCACAGTTCTCTCATTTGAATATGAAGTAAACCTAACATCACAGAACTAAATGTTATAAAAACATTTTTTTCTCAAAGCTAAAACTCCTAATTCTAACCAAATGCATGTTTTCATGAAATAATATACACATCAAACTTTAGATTCAACTATATCAAATACAGGGCATTGCTATATCATCAAAACTGACAGAGCTAGTAGAAAAGTTCAAAGTGGTAACTCCATCTGGTCAACATGATTTATAAATTTAATATGAATTAATCATGATTCGTATTCTTTCAAAGCAAAACATTATCTCCAACATAAGATGTTCTATAACATGTAAAAATTGCTTGAAAGGAAAGAAAACATGTATCAGTTTCTCAAATGTTATTACTTTACATTTATTTCCGGCAACTTTTCCTATCTTAATTAACTTTTTGACTTAAGGAAAATATCTTTGAGAAGTTGTATGTTTACATAGAATGTTGGTTAAATCAGTCTTACATATGACAAAAAGGATATCCTTTTATCAAATGTCACAAGGACAGTTATCGACAGGTTTCTACAAAGATGTACAAAATTGTAAACTGTGTATGTCAAGATAATAGAATTACTAAGTACTCACACACTTCAGTAACCTCGTATTACCAGTTCATTTAGACTTGAACTTGAACAGCTAAGAGTTAAATATCTGACCTTGACTGATATTTACCAACAACACAGTTAAATAAATGACGTCCTCAAGCCAAAAATCATATTAAACGTTCGCTCAACGTTTTAAATTAAATTATGTCAATCGCTCAAAATGTAAACAACAACAAACGTTACAGATCTTTCGAAATAAATTGCCTCTTTTCCATGTGTTTCGTACAGGTGTCATTTCCGTAATTCATTAAAGCTGAAACGATTAACTGTGTGTACACTTAACATCATAAAGAATGATACCTCATACTTCTCCTAGCACAATTAGGCATTCCATTTCTCACACACACATCTCATTCTACAACAAATAACACTGGAAGCAAAAACTTAGGCTAGTTTCCTTCGTGGCTTGTTTATGTTAGGGCTAGAACAATAACTGTAGGAATAAAAACAATCAATGTCGCAATTGCTTACTTTACTAGTTGCATCTGACACTTCTCGCATGATCTGTTCGAAGGCAGCTGTTTCTTCTGCTTGCTTCTGAGTGTGTAACGCAATCTTCTCACTAAATTTTCTTGGGTTCGCCATGATGGCTGCTTTAGTTTTGACTTGCAAGGCAAGGCAAATAGCCAATGAAAACCTATTGACACAGTTTCCCACGCTATCTGTTGGTACAGTTTTATGAACATGGCCAACTCTAATACATTAAAGTTGGCAGAAATGTTTAGCAAAGGTCAATGTTGCTTTCAATTTTTTAAACATGTAACATGTTACATTAACTTCTGATAGATAAATGTCACTTCAGAAACATGCTACACATGTAAATCTAAAATTTATAGTTATGTAACCGTGTTTCCACAGACCGTTACATGCGCTTATAGAGACAAAAAATAGATATTCAGCGCGACTCTCGCTGGTAAAGTCACATTTATACAATATACCAGACTGAACCAAGTACTGGTCATGCTCATGAGTTTTTTAAATATTGTATTAGTGAGGCCTGCGAGGAATTTACAATAATTTTATATTTCTTGTAAAAACACCATTTTTCGAGAATGAGTGACAAATCAAGTTGTATTGTGAGGTAAATGGAATCATGGGCATTAATATAATATCAGCTAGCAACAATGTATTGCTGGTATAAGAAATTATGGTGGATTCTCAAGGACCCGTAGTTTAAGCCGAAGAGGGCAGAATCGTAAAGCTGCCTTCTACTCTTTTTATTCTTCTGTAACTCTTACGTGCCGACGAATGGCGCCTATACTATTATACCACTACAGTAGGATGATGTGTTTGCTTCGAAGATGGCCGCTTTCATGTGTAGAAGTAAAGTGATTTGTAGCCATTGGATAAAGATAGGTCGTTTTTACTACTGTTCAATGGTCGGCATGACTTACAGATCAGTGTATAATATTTCAACCTTTCGTAACGTAACTTCCATAACAGAAGTGCGCCTAGAAAGGATGGAACAGAACTTTAAAAATGAAAGGTCTTTATCAAAGAACAAAACTAACTGTATACATAGGCACAATGTAAGTTGTTTTCACATGATAGGGAGTTGTGACGTTGGTAAAGCAACACAATCAAAGAATTACCAAACAAGAAATTCAAACATTACAGGCATAAGTCGGTGGTACTCCGATGGCAGAGAACCACCAAGGGAAAAATTACCAAGTTTGATGGACTTTCCAGAAATAGTATGGCCTAATATTTTTAAGACACTGAGGAACTGGATATTGGCTAATCTCATCATTAGGCCATATTTTGATCAAGAATTTGGTCTTCCAGATTTTGTACTTGGATCAAAACAGGTATATCAAACAATGCAGTATTTTGCATATTAATCCCATTTAATTACAGGCTGATATTACAAAAAAGCCCATTTTTGTAGAAAAGTCTAGCATTTTGAAGTTCTTAAAGTATAGGTTTGAGTTGTCCGTGGTGCATTACATATATACCAGAACATATACTTTGTGAATACTTTTCACATTTAGTCCACTGTAAGTAAATTGTGTATTTATCTTTTATCGTGAAGATACAAAGTAATTTAGTTTTCTTAGCTTAGAGGGACCAAATCATACTGAACATGTGTACAGTTTCCACTAGAGTTCAAAGTTACTTATTGCATAGCAAGGCCATACAAGTTGATACATCCTAATTTGCAGGCTGTAGAATGTGTGTCAAATTGTTTATCAAGAGGAGACTTTGCAGCTTTGGAAAACATGGTAACACAAGATACATTGCAAGTAGTGAAAAGGAATATATCCACTTTCACATTACATCAGCGACAAGAACTGGCTCTTTCAAAGGAAGATGTCTACTTCAGTTTTCCATATCAAATTGGAATCATGTTCAATGATGATGACAGTAAGTTTATTAGGGTAAGGTTGAATTAATAACCTGTATACCTATTTGTAGAATTCTGATTTTTTTAAATGGTTGACTATACATATTATCATAATACAAGTGCATGACTTACATTTAGGACAGGATCTGATTTTAGTTTTGAATGGGACTGAGATTTTTTGGTTTTCATCTTTCCATTTCTCCATGCACAATCATTCTCCAACATCACAGTCATTCCATGAAAAAACAACATACCCACTGAATGCTGAAGTCTAGGACTGTGATTAAATTTGGCATACAAATTAGTTCTGTTACCAGTCACCTTTGTCTATTTTTATTTTAAATTTCTGTTAAGTGGGTTTTGAAATATGAGGTGATAACGTGTAGAGAAAAATTGTAGAGTTCACCGTAAATCTTGTGAAATTTATTGTCTGTATGTAAAAATATACATCACAGTTGATAAAGACTCAGAGTTCTAAACAGTCACATGTCATGAATTTTGTAAATTAACTGCAGAAAAGTAGCAACGTGGATTTGTTTAAAAACCTGTCACATGTAATATTGGGAATGTGGTAATTGTAATGTTGGGAATAATACAGTTTAACTTATCTCAGAACATGTTTTTATCCAGCTTCTATGTAGAAGACAAAATAAATATGAGAGCAATAATTTATGATTAACTTTGTAAGTCATGAGTTTTAAGAGATGCATCCTGTTGCGTGTTTATCAAGAATGTATTTTTAATAAACACTGAAACTATAATTTAAAAACTGTTCAGTAGACGGACTGTTAACCTAACGTTTGTTAGGTGAGTGGCACCCCTGTAGAGCACATATTAAAATCGCTGTCTTTCTGAATGCATGCAGTAACTTGAGAACTGGAAAACAATTTTTCAGGAAATTTCATATTGAAGTGTTTTATTGAAATTTGTTAACATATTCCAAATTTGCTTAAAATTAGACATTAAGACCATCAGAGTTTGCACACCAAGTGACTGGGCTTAAAATATCCATGGTTTACTATGGTTACCTTTGTTAAAAGTCAAATTTTGGTAAAGATGTCAGAATTATTATGCCAGTTACTTCTCCATTATTATATTGCTTTTTTATTTTATTTCAGAATATCAGCAGAGATTTGTAGAAATAACAATGTGCTATCATGTTCTGCAAGGCCTGAAGGAACTAAGACAGCAAGGGATAACACCACCTTTAAATATGGGCATGTTGCCTGAGTACAAGCACAAGATTTACATTTGCAATTATCGTTTCATCAAAGAATTCACCAAAGGTGTTGAAGACCAGTGGACAGTGAACATTGTGAATCACTTCAGGCCATCAGATTTTGTCAGTTAATAAATGTCTCAAGTGTGACTAGTACAAATATAATAATGCAAAATAAAATTTGTGCTCTTGAAATTAATTATAAATACGTGCACTTTCTTCTTTTGTAGGAATTCTTTTATACAGATTTGTTATTTAGAGCCACATGTGAAACTATAATGCTTTATTTGGAATGGCAGCTCATGATAAAAACATGCTTCATAGAGTTTGTAGAGATATGACTGCAGTTTTGTATTTGAATGACATGTAAATGTAATAAACTTTGTATGTGTTCTAGAATTAATTTCCTTGTAATTTTCATGTTTATTGGCAAGAGTATTATCCCTTAAATGGGTGTATCCGGGGTTCCAAAATACAACTTAAAACAGGTAGCTCGGCAAACAGTCGTGCAGTATGTTACATATATGTATTTTTTACTTGCCACTATCTTAACTTGCCTTTGGAAACTAAGTGATTATACTTTTGATGTCCCGAGTGTATAACGGGAGACTGAATTCATGTTTGAATAACTGGGGTGTGTGAAGAAATCAATGCAGGTATGGACAGTGTGTGGTACATATGATAAAATTGTTACTTTTAAGAGACTTAATTTGTGGGCATTCACTGGATGCTACATTTTGCAGAAAGGAATGGACTGATCTACATATACTGTAGTTTATTGAAAATATATCAAAATGAAAATGAGTTCCATACAGATTTCATCTATCATATGTGCTGTGAAGGTGATGTCTTATTCTGAATTTATTTATTCACAAGAAAAGAGCCTTTTATGCCCGTGAGATACGAGGCTTAGCCATTCTGGACATGGTGGTGAAGAATGTCATGAGCTCTTGACTCCACCCACCAGTTGTGATTGGCTAGGGTCCGGCCACGAGCACTGGCCGGGCAGGTATACATGGGAGACGACCGCAACATCCAGTCACATCAGAACCCTGATGATGGGGGACAGAGATGGTCCCTAAAATGTCAGTTTCTTCTTTTAACCAACTGATGCAGCCGATCGCCCAAGAAGATTTTATTGAAACACCAGTCCCCCTCACTTGGCCCATTGAGAATCAAAACACAACTGCCTAGTTTGTAGTGTACACAAAAGAAAACATAAATGATGTGAAATTAAGGAAAACCAAGTTCTGAGACTTTTTTCATAGAGATAACAAATTTACTAGAGTTATTTATGCAAACATGTGCTCTTGAAATAATATATTTAAAGATTCAACCGGTAAAATTTCCACATATAATTTAGTATCATTTGGCTCAGTGTGTTGGACATGTCTGAATTGTGTACTGTTATCTAAATACTGAAATATACAGGGTGGGTGGGAAGTAAGTAGGCATTGAGATGGTTATAACCTCTATATTTCCGATGCAATAGTGATTATTTAATGCCTACTTACTTCCCACCCACCCTGTATGACAATTTCTTTGGTTCTTTTTAAAAAATATGCATCGTTTCATATAATACTGAGCTCATAGTACCTGATATACATAAAAATGGCTATATGACCATAAGGTATTCCTGAATGCATTGTTTTGCCACAAAACACTGACTCAGATTCTTAATAAACACTTCTGACAGTGGTTATGGATGTTTTTTATTGATAATTCTATACATACATATACACATGCATTCACATCTTTATTCCATGGATCCATAAGCTAGTCAGATGGCAATAGGATGTGGAATAAATTGTACTAATACAATATATATTATACATCAGTTTGTACTGTTATAAAATTTCACGTTATAAACAAAAGTTGCACATAATTCTTAATATGGTACAAGTATATCTACCCATTACATACAACAAATAAATTATACTACTTATTTATGTTACATGAAGACAAGATAATGAGCATTATGACTTATTTGTGAACAGAAGAAATTCATCACAAGAGTAATAGGAGTGTATAATTAAGTATCTTTTTAGAGCTACTTTAAATTGTGCCTTTTTATTTCGAAGACTCATGAGACTTGATGGTAAATTGTTGAAAATGTTGATGCCTAAATAATATGCATTCTCGTGAAAACATGAGAGATTGGCATTTGGTATGCTGAGACACCTGGGACATGATGTGGTACATGGTTGCCACACCAAATAATTGCAACACAATTATTTGGACCCAAGAAGACGTAAGGGCAAGGTGGAGAAAATTGCATAATGAGGAAATTAATAATTTATACTATGTACCAATTACAGTTTTATTATGTTGAGCAAAACAAGATGAGATGGGCAGGGTATGTAGCATATCGGGAAAGATGATAAACTGCACACAGAATTTTAATCAGAAAATCTGAACAAAGAGACCACTTGGGGACGTACATGTAGACACAGGTTGGAGGATAATTTTAAAATTAATTTTTAAGAAGTAGTATGTAAGGGTATGAACTGAATTTATCTAACTGAGGATACAGGGAAGTGGCAGGCTCTTGCGAACACAGTAACGAACCTTCAAGTTCCATGAAAGGCATGAAATTTTACAGATGAGTGAGGAATGTTATCAGTAAATACTTTTAATTGTCAACATGATCATTTAGATTGTATTCAAGGCTTTAAAACTAACAAGTTTTTTTTTGTGGTTTCTCTAATTTTTTTGAGGCAAATGCTTGCTTCAAAAAGTCATGATTCACTTCGCTCTTCTTCCTATATGGTATGTTACGGACTGCTGGGTCGACTGCAGTTAAACCACAGATGTGCCTGAGTGATCAATGGCATTTCCAAGTCAAATGTGTAACTGCTAACCTCCTTCTTTGATTCAGGATCTTTCAAAATCACAGACAACACTATTGGCATCTGAAAAAGTGCAAATATGGCTGTATCATTCATATGATGAATCAGTTATTGAAATTATGAGCAATATGTTCAGTTGGAGATACTTTAAAATGGAATTTGCATTAGTGTTATTAAGCAATACTCTTTAGTTATGCTATACATAAGACATTTTTGTTCTTGTATATGTATCTCTTAATCTAGCATTTCCCCCAACCAAGCTACATATTTAATTATTAGCTTGTAATAGAATTTCTGCATAATTTTCTATGGTATTTATATTTTTTCCTGTTAAATTAGCAGTAAAAGTCTGTGGAACAAATTGATTTAATTCTGTCTTTACTAATCAATATACAGTGTCATGAACTGAAAATGCGCCATTAAATTAAAGGAAACCTGATATCCAAAGATGTGAAAGCCACCTTTTTCAGTAAGATACTGCCACTACACATTTATTTATATGCTATGTATTTTCATAGAAAATAGACTATGCAGCATATGGACAGCAGCTGCAGATGCTGACTGTTACATGTTAATGTAATATAAAGGACATTAGAAGCATCAATAAAGAGATTTTAGTTCAGGAAATTTATTTGGAATCTTAAAAATCACACATGGAAACAAGTGACTGATTTGCATACTCTATAATATGATGAAATTTACCTTTGTCTTCTGAAGGTTGTGAATAGTTATTACTAGGACATCTCCTTCTCTGTGAAGTTCTAACTTCAATTTCTGAAAAGTAAAAGTAAGACTTAAGTTGATCACAAAAACTCTCTTCACCGCCAGAGTTACATTTCATTCTCATCGCCATGATGAAGGCAGCAAGTACTCCTGAAATGTTTGTAAACTTATACCATACTACACAATGCTACAACCCAGAAGACAGTGATTTTCACACTTGCCACCATGAGAACCTCAAATCCTACTAAGGTTTACTCACACCATACATCTTGGCACTACTTTCCTCCCTCATACAAATGTGGAACATTATTTTTCGTATATACGAGATGTGACAAATAAGTTCCGGTATTTCCATGTCACATCGAGTAGCAGGTGAGCAGTAACTAAGGAGTGGCACATTACAACATGCCTGTGGCTGTGTCTTGCATGTTGGTAAAGCATTAACATCATGCTTTGTTCAAAGTTAGGCAAAAGTGCAAGTCAAACTCTGCAGATGTTAACAGATGCTATGAAAAAGTCTAGTGTCTTTGAGTGGCATAAAAGATTTAAAGAGGGTTGGGAAGACTACAAAAGAACTGGACCTTTTGTTAAACAAGGTAGAATATTGAGCCAAGTGAGGTAAATTGTTACACATTAATAATATAAAATGTATTAAATTATTTCTAAATACAGTAAAGTATCAATGTGTTAAATATTTTAAGTGTTAAGATTTCTGTCTTCTGGGTTGTTGCGCTGTGTAGACATCGACCAGTCTACATGACGCAAACAACCCAGAAGACAGAAATCTTCATACTCACCGCTGTGAAAACCTCAAATCTTACATTTTAAGTGTTGTCTCTACATATAGAAAACAGGATCTACAAAATAACATTTATGGCAGCAGTGTCTAGTCAAATACCTAACAGAACTCAAAGTAAATCTTTCACGGGTTATTTGGAAGAGAAAGTATTTAGGCCCTTACATAAAATGGTCTTTTAAATTCTCATCTTAATTAAAACAGAAACATTTTTTTAAATTATCCAATATCAAATTTAATCAAAATCAGTTTACTTATTCAAGTTGTTTCATGTGTGCACAGTGATAGAGCAATTTTAATATTGGTCTGCAGGTTGCAAATATGTCTAAAACTACTCAGACTTGACTACCAACAAAATGATCCTATGTGGCAAGAATCAAACCAGTCTTACCTCACACGCCATGCAACACACCACAGCCCACTGCGCCATATTAGTAATGTAGATGTCAAGACTATTGTGGAAACAGTCTCTGTGTGGTTGAATTTTCACCACTGACTTCCATCCTATATTATCAAATACAATAGTATCCACTGCTGGTAATGCCATGAGTTTCTGGAATCTAATTTCAGTTTCTGGGTGTCCTGTCAAATGTACAAAATAATTTGATTGTGAAAAACAGTAACAATCTCAGGAAAAAGATCGTTGTCTTCTAGGTTGTTGTGGAGTGTAGTCTTATACCTCCAATCCACTATATAATATAGACATATTTTGTCATACAAAATACGTTATTTGTATATTGCCATGGATATGACATCCACAGATGTATTTATTTTAGTTTCACATGTATGTGGTATGTACTGGAGATCTCTAATATGTCAGTAGGCAAACTGAAGTATGAATGCAGTATTAAGTTTATGTTGTCTTCTCTCTTGGTTCTATCCGGCTGTTTGGTTACTTCTGCTTTCTCAAGTATGGGTTGCAGGAAGTAATGTAGCAGCCTTATAAGACTACTGAATTCAAAAAACTCATTATGCACTGTAAGGAACAATAAAAATATCTACACCCAAGTGAAATAAAGCAAAACACATAAACATACCTGTTACAGAGTCTGTCAGACAGAAATCATCAACCACATTTGAACTTGTTAATGGCATCTGTTTATCAGCTGCATCAGCTGATTCATTTGCAATCTCTAAAAAACAAAGATGGCAGTGGTCTGCTGCATTAGGTACGGCAAAGAGTGAAATAAAAAACTAATGCTAAATTAAGTAATTTAAATTTCAATTACTTGTCCAACTACAAACATCAGAAATCACGGGTGTAATAATAGCAACCAGTCAAAGCTTGGCATTTATGTTCACTACAACTTTTATGAAAATATCTAGGTGTCAGAATTTCAATCTCATATAAAATTAAGATTTACCTTTTTGAACCATTTTCAGGATATTAAGAATGGTAATATTCTTTTCCAGATGTTTCTTTAAGTGATTCACATATATGCCATTTACTTCAGTAGATCTCTCGTATGCCCCTAAGTTACTTGTCGTGGCATACTGTTGAATTAGATTCCTCTTTGGCTCATACAAGAATGCCTTTGGCAGTTCTTCATGGATGCCTGGATTTTCATTCCTGTGAATACAACAGGTTACCAATACAGATATTTTCTCTTGAACATCTTTTATATCACATTCCTGATTTATAATTTATCAGACTGTATTTTAGTTATTTCTTTGTGGTTTAGTTAATAATGCTATCAGTAGCACACAATTAAGATTAATGAACTGGGAATGATATAGAAGGAAGCAGTCACAGCCTAATTCAAGGCACTATCCTGGTATCTGCCTATAAAAAGTAAAGTAAAGTAAAGTAAAAAGAGAGAGAGAGAAGAAGCTCGAACATCTGTTAGGATAAGTAGTTTCTGGGCCAAGATGTGCACCTGGGACCTCTTGAATAAAATGCAGACTTGTTGACCCCAATATTATGAAATCTGGTGTGCTGTTTATTGGTTTATATAATGACAGAATAAAGAGAACATAATTTATTTACATTCCATAGATCCTTCAAAGGCCTAGATCAAGGATGTAGACATAGTGATAACAGTGATTTACAGTATTGCAACAAAAATGTTTACACAAGAAATCATAACCAATATTGATTACATGTATTTACAAAAGCTGAGAATTTTTGGGTAGAGAAATTCTTCTATGGAGTACAAAGGCTGAGACAGGAAATACTCATTTATTACTGCCTTGAACCTCTTTGAGTCATGGTTCAGACTTTTTATATTGGGGAGGGGGGATTAATGAATAGCTTAAATCCAGTATAGTAAACTCCTTTTTGATATTTACCGATGTTAGTGTTTGGCACAGGAAGGTTATATATCTGGTTTGAAAATTTTCAATGTTGTCCACTACAGATGGTAATAATGAGAGCAAGAACTCACTGCCTAGCAGAATACTATAACATTTCTTAAATAATTCCCTCTATGAGACTCTTTTTTAGCATCTACCATTATTCTAATGATTTTTTTATGTAAAATACTTCTTTGCTGTGTATTTTGATGCCTTTAGTAATCCACTCATTATTTATAAGTCTGATTCATTTCCTGTAATTATGATAACTGGAGATTTATCCCATACTTTTTGTAACTAGAAGTTCTGCATCATGATCAAATAGCCCATTTATCACTGGTGCAATAGAAACATGTTCTTTCCTGGAAATGTCTATAAAAACATTGTCAATGGCAGTAATGGAGTAATTCTGAAGTTACATGAGATTATAAGATGTCAGTAGGGAGTTCAGACATTACTTGTGGCAAATTTCAGTAAGATAATTAATATTAATGTTGCCACAAATTACAAATTTTGCTGTAGGTTTATAACAATAATTTATAATGCTTTCTAACTTGTTAAAGAAGGGTTCAAAATCAACTGTGGGAGCTGTGTATACAGCTAGGGCATCTATATTGGAGTGTTTAGATTCCAATTGCACAACACAGCGTTCCAAGTCAAACTAATGATGTTACATAGCATTGAACAAGAAATAACAGGATGATGTGAACAGATAATTATTTGACCTGTGGCAGGAAATGGCTGCACCATACTTTAACATCAGCATCTGTCTAGAGAAGAGATAAATCATAAAAGATCTTGATAGCTTGTTTCTTAATAAAGTGAGATATAATTCTGACCTGCTAGGTATTTTGAGACACATATCTAGCAAAATCAGAAACAGCTTTGGTTTTACTTTCATTACATCTCGAATCACTTCTTTTTCACACAGACTGTTACAACGGCGATATTCATTAGATCCTGGTGCATCCACTGGCAGCATGAATTTATCCTGGATTTCAAAACCATGCCCCACAAAGTAGAAAAATCCTAAAAATAAAATGAACAAACATTCCAACTAGTCATACAAGTAAAATAAAAAAAATACAGATTTGTGAGTCACATAATATTCAGAAAGATGTTTACATTTAGAAGTCTGCAAAAGCACTAATATGAAAATCTGAAATTCCTCCAGGTGTAAAACTTTAATAATGGATACTCATTAACCTTCACAGTGTGAAGTAACTAACCACATTGAGCACAGTCCAGCTTGAGAATGTGACTTGCTTAGCCAGTCAAGAAATTCCCTAACTTTTCGGTTTATTTAGTCGATCCTCTTCTACTGCTTGGCGTAGAGTCCCTATCTTTTATGGAACCTAAAGGTTCCTCACCATGTTCACAAGAGCCTGTTACCAATCCCTATCCTGAGACAAATTGATCCAATCCACACCCCAAAACCTTATTTCCCTTAGATCCATTTTAATGTTATTCTCCAATCATGTCTTCTGCATCATCTCTCCCCTTCAGTTTTTCCAACTAAAACTTTGTATTAATTTCTCATCTCTTCCATGTGTGCTACATTCCTTGCCCATTACATCCTCCTTGATTTGATCATCCTAACATTTGCTGAACAGTACAAATTATGTAGCTATTCCCTATTCAAACTTCTCTGGTGTCCTTTCGCTGCATACCTTTGTAGATGAAAATATTCTTACTGCATACAGCCTGTACATGTAAATATAGGATATGTATTTAACTACTGACTAAATACTGGTTACATCAAAATCCCTGAAACAAATAATTTTCTTGACTCTCTGATTTTGGACATAGACATGCTTCCTCCAGCACAGTACAATGAAATACAAATCAATAACGAAGTTATCGGAAAGTAATAATTAAATAATACGATGATGTCTTACCGTATCCTTCTTGTGGTAACAACTGACAAAACTCATATACAGCATTTCTCATCTCATTGAGCGTCAGATTATGTAGAGCAATCACCTTAAATCCGATGTCTTTCAGAATCGAAGCGATGGTAGCCACATCATTCCTCGGTGTGTTGAGATCACTTAGGTCTGTGTATGTGTCATTACCAATGAGAAGTGCTACCTTTTCTGTTGCTGAAATAAATAATTAATTTTCCAAGTTGTTTTAGTGTATACCATATGAATAATGTCACAGCACCGGCAAAGCCTTTTGGCAACATTACCTGTAATTCTGGTCCGAGACTCATCATCGGGGTTAGGAACTATCTGTAAAAAATTAAAGTTACATATTTCACACATTACAAATCTACATACAATATTATGAAAAAATGATTGTGTGAGATCTGAGGTCCTCATGCCAGTGTTAGTTTTCTGAGTAGTAATGTGGACTTGCAGGGAGCCATGAAGATGGAGGCAATATGTTCCTCCAAAACACTGGTATCTACCTACAAGTCCACATGACATTACTACCCATAAGACCACCACTGACAAATTGTAGGCTTAGCTCAAAAATACAGTGATCTATTTGTAGAATATAAGAGAAGTCAAAAAAACTACCAAAACAAACAGTTTATTCCAAACTTTTTCTTCTTCTAACAGAATTTACATTTTATCTATCATAAATCAAGGGTTAATAGGTGCTAAAGAAAGCAAAGTTACCATTGACAGGTTTGAGTGATTTGACCAAACAGCACCACCTCTGTTCTTTACATAACATCTGTAACTGCCTTCACAGCTTGCACCAACACCACCAATCTGAAATCAATACAACAAAAAATCACATGCATTTGAACGGCGAGGAAAGGGCTTGCTGTGCTGCACATAGGTATCGATCACATGAAACAGATCTGCACTCTGATATAGTCCACCAAGTTAAGGGCTTAATAAATAAATATTCATTAAACTTTTCTAGTCTCTCCTACACTGTAAGACAAAAGACAGTCTGCACTATGAGTTTTGATGTTATAAAAATCAAAAATGCACTTTGGCTTCACCTTTATAATATTAGCTACAAGGAATTTTTTTGGCTCTAGCTATATTAAAGCCTGATTTTGGCAGGGAATGTATTAAATGGTTGCATACTCATGAGAATGAATAATAATGACACCCTTATGAATGTGTTTAAAAGTCCAACCTAAAATCAACTCTGCTGCTGGCTTTACAGTAGTGAAAAGTTAAAAGTAATTATTTATGAATACATTACACGTGATTCTCATTATATGCTCTTCTGTAACCACACCTTTTGCATATCCATGATTTTACTTCAGTACATGTGGAGTATCAACACACTATCTGTTGCCACATTTGAAGCTGTCACACAGGAAGAATAAGTTACACCAACTCAACCCATTTTGACTCTGGAGACTACAAATTAAGGCCTCTCATGGTGTTTCACTCAGAACATCCATAAGCATGTTAGTCTCCCATTACACGTTTTCAATATTCACAGTGATGAAACCCAAAATATAACAAAAGCCACCTATATTAAGAGATCAGCCTTACAGTTAATGTATTGGTTTCTTCTCCAGGAAGCTGAAAATTCTCTTTGAACCACTCATACTGAGGCTCTGGATATCCAGTAGCAAAGCACGAGAGCGTTATGACATCACCTTCTCTAAATACAACACAAGGCACTGGGTGTTCATGTATAGTGGGAGGTACTGGGAGTAGCTCAACGTTAACAGTGTGGGAGTACACCTGGCACACCTCTTCGCCATCAACGTCCTGACTTACACAGCAGTAGTATTCACCCTCATGCTGCACGCTAGACAATAAAGAAGCAATTTATTACTATGAAATGAAATACTGTTTTGATGAAATTTGAGTTTAGGTGCTCACAGTGGCAAGAAAAAGATGGCTGTCTTCTGGGTTGTTGTGCCATGTAGTATGGTAGAAGTTATAGCCCTGAAGTCGATATATTTCTACCTGACTACATGATGAAACGACCCAAAAGACAGTGATCTGATAAATTTGTTTAATGAGTTATTTTATGGCACACTATACATTGCTAGGATTAACATAACACTGACTGCGAAATTACACAATAATTATGAATGATGAATAAAGATGAATGTGGTTTATACAACATTTTTAAGACAAATTCCTTATCTGGTCTTTCTGGGAGAATGAAGCATGACTTTGCAGGAATAGACTCTTATCCAGAAACAAAAAGGTTAATGTAGATATACTGGCCATATGTGAAGGCACCATGATTAAATTTATCTACAGTGACTAAGGAAGAAACAGAACATATTGGTCAGGTCAGATGTTCTCATCAAGATTTGAACCCATTACTTCCAAAATGTGGGTCACACCACATTACAAGCGTGCCTACTTGCTTGGATGTGTTGTTTTATAATCTTATATCCTGTATGTTTTGTCTGAAAAAATTAAAATTTAACAGGTATAACCTAGAGGTTATTTAAGCCTTCAAGCTTAGGAGCAGTCCTGACTAGCTGAAGTGATCCAAAGCTTCATTCTAAGTTCCCATTCTAGGAAACTTGAAACTAAATCTGTTCTGAAACTGGAAACAGAACTAACAAATTACGGGGCACATCAAATAATACATTGGAATAGAGAGAATTATATATTATATTGCAATTTTACCTGAAATCCCTTATGAGAAGAATGCTAGATGTCTGGGCCTTTAGTTCTTCATTGCCTTGAAACCATACATATTTGGGGGGAGGAAGCCCAAATGCTCGACACTCTAATCGTAAGTCTGTACCTTCAGGAATGTAAATGGTGTCTTCATCATCACTTGGCTGTTGTGTAATAACCACACGTTCTATAAATATAAACAAAGACTGTGGACTGACTGCACGTTGTTTATAAAGCAACAGACTTCCTTCAATCTTCAAGTAACATGGTACTTAATGAAAATAAGATACATTTTCAGCAGCATATTATAAAAATCTGGTAAATAATTCACAAATTGAATACCTGACAGATGGATTGATTCATAAATTATTTAACAACGCTGTTTTAAATGAGCTGACACCGATTTCAGGCAATCACAATGAACAGAAGGAGAAAAGTCATGTAAAGCCCAAGCCAGACTTATATGATAATTTGGTTGAAATCAGAACTGGGTGTAAGTATGGAGTGTTATTACTACAACCTACTCAATATAACAAAAAGGAATTATGTAATATATCCTCATCTAACTTTGACAGGTTATATATAATGGAGATTTAATGTTTAAAACTTTCATTTAATTTTATTTTCCATACGCTGAAACACTTTTGTATTCTCTTCAATGTAAGAAACAGTGGTGAAATGGCCTGCATTTTGATGAACACTTTTACCAATGATTGATGCCCATTGGGTTAATGTATGCTGTAACCAATTCTAGCACCAAGTTATAAGAATAAATGTGGACATCACTTTGAAATAATAAACATCTGTTTGAATGTTAGATCATATTTCATCATGAGCAAATTATTTTGTAAAATTCTAGTGAAACTTACCTGGTTCTCTCAGTAATGCCAATGCATCATACAGTTGACAATTCAGCAATATTTCACAAAGAACTCCAACAGTACAAAACCGATTTCCGATCTCATGTAGAAGCATCTCTGATGGTGAGGATTTACTCTGGAACATTCTTATGTCACATGCACTGCAACAGAAATAAAAAACTAGTTAAAATTCATACATAACAGCTGATTCCCCCTTCCATCATGATGACTGATTGTTAAGTTATTTAACTACACTGTTTCAACTGCAGAGACTTTATGAGATAAAAAAATTGGGACAAATCAGTAAGAGTTTGGAAGGAGTCAGATGCAGCCTATCTGAAGGTTCTATCCTAATGTTCACCTGCAAAAAATGAAATATTATGTAACTCCACAGGAGTGAGTTTTTGATAAGCTTGGAATCACTCACCTACTCAAGAAATTCCCCACATTTTATGGAACCTGAAGGTTCGTTTCAGTGTTTACACGAGCTCACAACTGGTAGATATCCTGAGCCTGACGAATCCAGTGCATAATCACAAATATGATTTCCCAGTGGTTAAATTTCCAATAAACATTCTACCTCCCTTATATGACACTTACCTAAATATACCATAACATTTATTAAAACCTTCAGCAAGCAACTTCCAGGAGTCATTGGTATCAAGTAACACTCTCAAACGTCTAGCTATTTCAAATTCAAGATTTGTTACTACAACATCGGGATGAGGTGCCTTTGACATCGCCAATATAAAATTCAATTGACTGTTTGTTTGCTATGTCAATGAAATTATACTTAAAACATTATAAATACATTACTATCCTATGACACTTCATTCATCATGGAACCAGCAACACGGAAAGTTCGCACATGTTTAATCACAAGGAAATAGTATGTGATTGGTCGAAATTTGATGGCAGACTCGTAACTAGTTTATCAATAGAATGACCGAACAATTATGAAATCGAATACTGAGAGATGCCAAGGATGGCGATGTGTATAATTAATGATCGACCTATTTTGAGAGAACTTTTACTCCAAATTTCGATATCAGAGTGCCAGTAGATATAAATATTGCAGATTTTTGTCACGAAAGTTAGACGAATCAAAGAAACAAACATGCAACTGGGATTACAATCCCTGCTTGCAAAAAACGTAGTTTTAAACAATAATTTTATATGACCGAAAGATGCTGTATAAAAACTATTCCAAAACAAACAATAAGAGTGGTTTACTTATTACCCAACAGATGTCGCGGAATGTGCAATTTGGCGGTTTATGGTGACTGCAGTGTGAATATTTTGTTTTTTGTGAAAAGTGCCTCTGTGTGTTTGATTTGAGGTTAAGGTAAAACAGCGGCAACTATGAAACGTCGGGCAGACTATAAGGCGCAGCAACCCAGAAGCCAGTTGTTTCTTAAGTAATGGTTATTCGTGATTCTCTATACATTAAATAATTGGAGCCAGTAAACTTCAATTTACCATACATTTGTGTTGTGGAATGTCTTCAGCAGCAGATGTTGGTTTATATTACCATGAATCTGTCTCGTTGTATTAAGTAATGGCATTCTAACTACTGCAAATGTAGTCTAGTCTGTGAAATCAAAATTGTAATTGGTAAAAGTAAGGAATTTCTTCACCCAATTAAAAAACACGGCACGTCGTTTTTTTATATATATAACGTGCAGAAGTAGGTCCTTTTGATACATCAGAAGGTAAACGTTATCGTGAAACCACGTTCGTACAGAAACATGAAGCTAATTATTTACTTTATTATTTATTCCATGCCTTGATCACATTTTTATGAAGGTCAGGATATTGAAGAAGAAGAGGACGAAGAAGAATAAGGAGGAGGAGAGAGGAAAACAAGAAGGAGGAAGAATATGAAGAAAATGTGGGAGAAAACTAGAAATTGAAGAAGGTGAAGGAAGGGAAGAGGAAAAGTCGAAGGAGGCGGAAAAGGGCAATAAGACGAAGAAATAGAATAAGGTAAGATAAGAAATAAAATTATTCTTCCTTATGTCATCAGTGTTGTTCAGAAAACAATTTCACGAAATCTGAATTCTTTCTAATGAATTGGGTCTGGAAGGGAGAGCATTCTTTACGTAAGTTACACCTGTTACGATGTACTCCACATTTTCAAGTTCCATTTGTGGGGCAATCGATGAGATAACGAAATATGTTATTCATAGGCAGACGCAATTTCAGGCCCACAGATTCTTCTCCAGAACTCAAGTAGGAAGCTACGTACGTCTTTTCGCTCCCTATTTCAATTATGGACGTCAGTAATCATGATGAACAAGAGCTGACCGATTTCCGTGAATCAGTAATTCTATGTTTTGCCCACAGAGTGTGTTTATCAGTTTCGTATGTTTCTAAAAATAATCAGAGATTATTTCCTTGAACATCATTAACCAGGTGATCTCTTGTTGTTTTCTTTGCGCTATGGACTGAGCTTTAACTGTTTAGATGAGCTTTGGGTTCGTATGAAGAAAGGCTAGGACGTTCAAATTTTTCTAATGGGTTTATATATATATATATTGTTTTTGTTTTTTGGGATAGTTTGAAGAGCAAAGAGTAATACATTGCAATTGAGTTCAATGTAGACTGATCACCCGAAGAACATTATAACTTTTCCTGAAACAGACGAATTGCCATTTATCTCTCTTCTGCTTTCCTTGCCCCTTGAGCATTAGAGTATATGTGCAGCAATATCCTTCTGTCTCTTCTAGTTGCCGACAGGGCGGCGCTGTGGTCGAATAACAATTTTAGAACTTGTCTTTCCTGAACATGGTTCGCGCATTAGTGTGATTGGTTTCAGCTAACCAAGGGGGAGGTGGCGGGAAAACAGAAACTGGACAGCCAGGTCTGCGTCTTATAATAATTGTCTTTACTCCAGACTAGAATTAGGCTTTCTCTCCCTTTCATGTCTGACTGAAACTGATATTGAGAATATGTCTGGTTAGAAACTACAAAAACGACAATGAATATGGCTTCTTCTGAGTGTTGCACAGTGTAGTCTCGTTGATATTGAACGACGTTTCAGAAATCAATATTCCAGGAGACAGTCATTTTCAAGAATGAAAGAATCTTTAAAAATACGTGTAATATATTGATAATTGTTTATTGTAGGCTATTAGAAACTACCAAATAACAATGGAATAACTGATGGTTTGGAAACATATCTTAAATGTAAGCTCTAAAAATTACGATTCGCATGGCATCCAGAGGAGTTTTAAATTCTGAAAAATAATGTACGATAATCAAGTTTTAAGTATTTTAACTGTTTGTTTGTGCCATCTGTTGAGAGGATTTGAAAAAGCTAAACGCATTATTTAAGACGGTAGAGATTGAACAGCTAATTTGAAATTCAAGAAATTGTTTAATAATATAGATATAATTAGAGTTTATAAGGTAGTATATTTGCGTCATATTGTGAATTAGGTTAATATTTTAATATTTTCCGTCAAATCACAATTTTTAATAAGATAATAAAATATAAAATATTTAAAAAAACGTTCCAATTTGTAAATCGATCATTCGATG